TTAAAAGGACTGATAAATAGTTCAAACAAAGACATAAAATGAAATCCAGAAGAATATGCTGGCATTGAAAGCAAGGTCCTTGAGTATGTTAAGAGGGGAATGTGCAAGAATGCCAACTACTGCCAGGATGTCAAGCAAAATAAGTACTGAAAATGTACCACTGGACTTCAAGGTCATTCAAGAACTTGTCAAAATCATTTTTCATGGGATGGGATAAAGGAAGAGATAGGGACCAGTGGTGTGAATACTCCCTTCAGAAGCAAACTTTTAACAAACGGCAATTTTTAACAACTGGGAAATATGGGGCTGGGCATGGAGAGAGGGGATCTCTCAGGCAGTTCTGAATGGCTTGATTGTTAGATATTTAAACAACTAAATTAACTAGATGTTATTCCAAGAATTATATAAGTATGTGGTCGCTATTTAGTATTTTCAAAATTTTAAGTAAAAATAGAGAACAAGTATTTTTTTTTTAAAGAACAATCTCCATTAGAGAAATTTTCCATTTGTTACAGCTTAAGACATCAAACTTCAAAGCTAAAAAAACTAGATAGCCTTTGTGGGCTTCTCAGCACTTAGAGAAAATGAATAAATGCATGTCTAAGTGGTCTCAAGTAAAGAAACAAAAGAAAATATATCAGAGTGTTCTCAAAGTGCTCCACGAGAAAAAGAAAAAGGAAACAGATTATTAATTCAAAACCCATCAATATAAAATCTTAAGTGTAAACTGAAGTTCAGGAGAATGAAACTGCAATGTTTAATTTCTGAGTTTTTTTGGTTGAATTCCAATTTTTCAAGTCAGGACAGTGTGTCCAAAGGAGCATGGACTGAGTGAAAGGTGAAGGGATTAAGAAATAAAAACAAAAGCTCATAGACACAGACAACAGTATGGCGATTACCAGCGGGAAAGGGGGGTGGGGTGTTATCATCAGAACATTAATAAATATTAATAAAGGAAAGAAGGCAAATGGAGTCAGACATTGTAAACATGGTCACCTGGGAAGCTTTGTCAGGAAGCTACAGCTTCACACAGCCTTGTTCCTCCAAAGTATTAACACCTCTCCCTTCCCCCATCTGGTACTGGATTATTGGGTAAGGTGTTAAAAATTTCAACACAAGTAAAATTTACAAATATAATAAATTAAAAAATTATGTATAGTATTATTTTATTCTTTGGCATATTTCTCATTTGAGTGAATTCTAACAACTGATCAACAATGCCAACTTTGATAAGCAGTTCTCGATAATCAGTTCTCAACAATTGTTTGTTATTATTAAAGTTTAACATTATAAAATTAACAAAAATAATATAAAACTCATATTCTGGCTAAATAGCCACATGGCCGCCAAAAACCGTATATTCCCTTCCCATTCTCCCATCGTTCCCTAGCTTGTCTTGCATTCTTTTAAAAAATCGGGACTTTTTAAAAATACCCAGGACACGGCACAAATTGTTAAAAATTGGGACTGTCCCGCCAAAAGAGGGACGTCTGGTCACCTTATTATTGGGGGAAAAGGGGGAACAGGCACATGTGCAGTGGAAGTTGGAGTGGCGCAGGGGAGGTGCTTGCCTGCCAGTTTAGCATGGGGAACAATCTTAGAAAGTTAATTGGTTAGTTTGAAGAAGATCCTGGTTAAAATCCCCATAGAGTTCCCAATGCTTTGTTCTTCTCTTGCTCTCTCTTGCTCCATGACCTCACTCACCTGTGTGCTCGTCTGTTCTCTCTCCATAGCCATGTGGCCTAAAGCAGATGCATGTCCCATGGCTTGCGGACCCCGCACACATGGACTGCAGCTGGGAACACAAGCTAAGCTAGCCGGATGCTGGGCTGGACTGTGCTTTAATATGGAGCAGAGATTCTGGCCAGTGGCCTGCATTCAGGCCCCGCTGAAGGCTGGACTTCTTCCGTGGCAAGATGGACAAAGATGGGAGCTTGGAGGGGAACCCCTTAATTTTACATCATCAATAAAGCTTTCCACAAAACTCTGTGTTCCCACTGGGCCTCAGGAAATTCTGTTTCCTCGCAGCACCCTGAGAACTCTACTTCCACCAATAATAGGGGGAGGTAGAAAAGGGTAAAAGGAGGATATGATGAAAGAAAGAGACTTGTCTTGGGATAGTAAGCACACAATACAATATACAGATGAGGTGCTATAGAATTGTATAGCTAAAACCTATTCAATTTTATTAACCAATGTTACCCAAATGCATTCAATAAAGACTTTTTTTAAGTAGCATATTCTTTGGAATCTGTCAAAGCTGGCTCCAATTCAGGTTCAGCCACCAACTAATGCATGACTCAGGATAGTTCTATAAGTCTTAGTTTCTTCATCTAGAAAGAGAGACTAACCAAAGCTTCCTCCAAGAATTTTGGTGAGAAATAGAAATAATGAATGTTGTAGGCACTCAGTAAAGTATAGCCATTATTTTTCTCTTCCCTGTTGCATGTCACAAAGGGAGTGAAATAACAACAATAATGATAAAAATCAATGCTACTTCTCTACATGGAAGGTGAATAGCCCACAAAAAGGGGATAGCTTCTATTTTACATGCAGGCTACACTTTCTCAAAAATACCATGAGCCTGTCTAGTGTGGTTCAGCTGGCTGGAGTGTTACCCATGAACCAGGAGGTCATCGTTCGATTCCCACTCAGGGCACATGCCAGGGTTGTGGGCTGGATCCTTAGTAGAGGGTGTGCAGGAGACAGCCTATGGGTGTTTTTCTCTTAGCAATGTTTCTTTCTCTCTCTGCCTTTCCCTTTCTCTCTCTGAAATCAATAAAAACACTTTTTTTGCCTTGACATTCCAAAGGCAGAGTATTGTGTTGGGGCTGAATGACCAAGATGGGGGGAAACACCCTTATCACTATAGAGACTGTGAGAAACAGGAAGCAAGCTCTGCTACTTACAGATCATGTGTTCTTGAGCAAATGACTTTGCCTCTGAAAGCCTTTTCCACAAAATGAGAACTCTTCACAGATTTTAAAGATCAAATGTATGTGAAAGGGCCTGGCCAACTATAAATAGTGATGGAAAAAAATAAAATACAATGAAATTAAATCTAAAAACAAAATTAAAGAGCACTATGTAAATAAAAGCTTTGGGTGGAGTGACCCTCAATTTCTGGCACATGGAAAGTGCTCAGGAAAAGGTTTCCCAGGTGAGTGACCATGACCTCCTGGTTCATAGGTCGATGCTCAACCACTGAGCCACGCTGACTGGGTGAAAAAATATTTTTAAAGAAAATGACAAGAAATATAAAATCTGAATAGAACTATAGAATAAGTAATCAAAAATTACCCACAAAGAAAATCCCAGAAATAAATATATATAAAAGCCCATACCCAGATAGCTTCACTGACAAATTCTAACAAACATTTAAATACAACTTTTTCACAAACCCTTATTTTAAAAAAATGCAAGAAAAAGGAACACTTTCCAACCAATTTTTAAGGCCAGTATTATCCTGATATCAAAATCAGGCAAAGATACCACATAAACCAGTATCTCTTATGAATATAGGTGCAAAAACCCTAAGCAAAATATTTGCAAACCAAATCTCGCAACATATAAAAAGGATTATTATACACTATGATCAAGTGGGATTTATCCCAGGAATGCAAAGTTGGTATAACATCTAAAATCCAATAACTGTGTACCATATCACAGAATAAAAGACAAAAACTACATGACCATCTCAATACAACTGTCCCTTGGAATCTGTGGGGGATTAATTCCAGGACCCCCAAAGATACCTGTAGATGGACTTGTATAAGTCCCTTCTATAAAATGGCATAGTATTGGGGGGGGTAATGGGGGAATAAGGACACATATGTAATAAATTAATCAGTAAAGAAATTTTTAAGATGCCATAATATTTGCATATACACTATATCTGCATATAGACTACAGCAGTGTCTGCCTATACATCACTTCATTCCTGCAGATTCGCATAGTGTTCAGGGCATGACAAATTCAAGTTTTGCTTTTTAGAACTTTGGGGGCTATTTTTCTTTCTAATATTTTTGATCTGGGGTTGGATAAATCAGTGGATGGGAAACCCAGATAGGGATGGCCAGCTACACATGCACAATTCAACTAGGAGAGAGCATAGCATCTGAAACCAAAAGGAAAACATCTCACACTAACTAGTATGGAAAACTCTTCATCCTAAACTCTCCATACTAAGACTGAGTGACCTTCCAAAATCAAGATGTGAAAGAGAAATTGGGGAGATTATCTATACCTAAATAGCAAAGAAATGGAATTTAAGAGCACATTATTCACATAATTGTCCCAGCTTGCTTGGTTTTTTTTTTAATTTCTTTGTAAAAACTATGTTTCTTAGACACTCGAGTTTCAACTAGATTCTAGTAGCCATGAGAAAGAACCTTGGTACAAAATAAAGAAAATAATAAGTTTCTAATTATATGGAAATAGTAGGGGGCATGTCAACTATTTAGAAACAACCCCCTTTTGGAGAAGCAGATGATCAAACATTTGCCAAATTCTACCTAGAATATTCTAAAAACATGAGGCAAATCTCATAAAGTTCTGTGTTGAATAGCTATAAAAATAATCTGATCACTGAGTTATAAAACCTAATAAAGATTCAATGATGTTACCAATCGTTACACAGATATGAATATAGCTATTTATAAGCACACTGAATAAACAGATGTAGGTTTACAGAGGCTTTCTTGTTCCCTGCCACTGAGTTTTAAATTGAGATTTTATATTGGTACATTTCCAACTGAAATCAAATCAAATATAAAATATCTCTTAGATAATACTTTATGCTACATCAGAAATTCAAAGCTAAATCTTCCTACTAGTCATTTCTGATGTTATCCCAATATTTAACCTCTGGCTCAAGTGATAATGCCTTGTGCAAAATCACACAGAGCAGGCAGTTCCAGAACCAACTATCTACGTAAATGAGAAAAGAGGACAGGTAATTGGCACACTTTTCTTTAGGAAGACACATTCCTAGCACTCACTTTTTGCAGATTTCCTGATTTTAATTGATGAACTACCGCAGCCCATGTTGTTTAGATGGTGTGGAATATCTTCAACGTCTTATTCCAGATGGTGAAGAGATGTGTGAAACCACTCCTTAGCTGACACTTCAGTCACAGACCCTGAAGGGGAATACACAGGAGGGAGGGGAAGGAAGGATGTTAACAACTAGGTGTCCTTAGACTGCTCAGCGGGATTCATTTTATGCTTCTTCTCAACTGCCCTTGGTCACGTGATGTGGAAAGTGACCAGACATAATCTAATCCTGGTTTATTTTCCACAGCACAGCAGCAGCAATGGAGCAGCGATAGGTTGCTTTTCTGCTACACATCAATTTTATTTTCCTCGTGTCTCCGTCAGATCAAGGTCTGCAGAAAATAACACATTAAAAACGAAAAGAAAAGCGTGGCAATGTAAGAGCGTACAATTTTCTAATTGACATAGGGAATAAGATAGGAAAGCTCTGACATCATTGAACAGTTTTGGTTTTCAGCTCAAATAATTAAACCTATCTGGGCTTTGAAAAACACAAATTGGAGGACTATGAGACAAAAACAAGATATTTAAATGCCAACATCCAAATCAAAGTGAGTTCTTTGACAATATTTCTCAGAATCAGAGCACTTGTTTATAAAAAGGAGGTTCAAGGTCTCCCCCGCCAAATGAAGGCATCAGAATCTGTCCAAGTGCCCTTTTCAAACAAGCTCTCCCAGTGTTTTTGAGACTCTTCCAAGTCTTCTTTGCGGTAGCTCACCAGCCCCTCTGACAAGTTATGAAACTGCTACAGAGATTTTCCACAATCACTCCCTGGGAATTTCTGACAAAATTCCTTTCCTCCATTCTTTTTTGGGCGGTGATATTTCTGAAGGGGGGCCAAAGTTTTGCTTTGGGGGATAGTGATCATTAAGCAGGGATATTAAGAGAAACAAAAGACTCAGAAAGAACCTTTGACCTTCCCCCTTTCCTACTTAAAAGATTCAGATAAGACAAAATAAAAATAAAACACCTGCTTCAGGATGAGAAATGTAGTACTAGACAGGAGGACTCCAGGCAGGTGCCTGTTCACTAGTCCACCCTGTGTCTTGCTGTTTCTGGGTTGCCAGCAAAACTATGTTCCTCTCTTCCTCAACTACCTGTAAATTGCCTATTCCCTTTGAAATCTCAGGGCCACTGTTTCTTCTTTGTTTAAAAACGACTTATATACCCAATTTTACTGCACTGTCTTTGGAATACCCATACTTATGTGAATCCCCCGTGAGCGTGTATAAAAATTTAATTTTCTTCTTTTGATTTGATTAGCCCACGTAGAAGAACCTAGAAGGTGGGAGGAAAATCATTATTTTTTTTAGCTGCCACATTTCCTTTATTGTTTGATTCTCCAAACCAACCTGATCTAATATATTTGCATTTCCTGATAGAAACAAAGAGAGCTAGGGACCCTATAGGCATGTTTATTTTTCCACTAGCACTACATTAAAAGCTTCAGAATTTCAACTCAACTGAAGAAAAGGCAAAACAAAAATAAGCAAAATATTTGAATTATCAAACATTTTTTTTAAATAATAACCTTAATAAACAGATATTCTAATCGGATCTAAGCTTGGTTTTTTTTTACATGTTGAATCAATTAACCCTCTTAAATTTGGGATTATTGACAAGTCTAATAGGGATTTCTTTTATATCTTTTGTTATTGTTGTTGTTCATCTTCACCTGAGGATATTTTTTCCATTTTTTATTTATTTATTTATTTATTTTTAGAGAGAGAGAATGGAAGGGAGGGGGAGAGGCAGAGAGAGAGAAACATCAGTGTGAGACACATAGACTGGTAGTCTCCTGCACATGCCCCAATCAGGGCGGGAGGATTGAGTTTGCAACCAACATATGATTCCCTTGAATGGAATCAAACCCAGGACCTTTCGGTCTGCAGACAGACACTTTAACTACTGAGCAAAACCGGTTCAAGCTATACTTTTCTTAAATTTTAACAAGATCAGCTCCAGAGCATAACAACCCTTGTGACATTCTACTCCAAAACATTTTCCAAGATTACCGCAGATCCATTACATTCACATCCTCATATTTGTGCACTTAGGTGGTACATTCATCCAGCATACCTATCAACTTATGTATTTATGAGAGGTCCTTGGGAAAAATTTTTTAATCCTTACCAGAAGATATTTTTCCCATTGATTTGTAGAGAGTGGAAAGAGAGGGACAAGGGAAGGAGAGAGGGAGAAAGGGAGAGGGAGATGGAGGGTACATGCCCTTGACTGGGAATCAAACCAGGGACCCTTTGATCCATGGGCCAACACTCCAACCACTGAGCCAAACCAGTCAGGGTGGTCTTTGGAAATTTTGCTAAATATTTTAATGAAATTAAGATACATACTTTGACACCTTGACATTCCAAGCTATCTCAAATCAGAAGAAGAAAAAGAAGAGGAGGAGGAAGAGAAGGACAAGGGAGGGTGGGAAGGCAAGGAAAGAGGAAGAAAAAAAGGAAATCAGTTTGGAATGATTTTTAATAACAAAATCATAGATGTATAAAGGTGAGAGTGACCTTTAAAAGTTCCTAGAATTGACAGAAAATACAAGGAAGTTGAGCAACTTGCATAATTATTATATAGACAAAAACGGTTATCAAACTTTGTTGCATTTTAGTTATCACCTGGGGAGCTTTGAAAACTCCCATTGATCAGACAGCACCTTATTAAATCAGAATCTCTCAGGGCTTTTAAAAAAAAAACTGGTGCCCGTGTCCCCTTGGGTAGAGTTGGGCATCTGGATTTTTTAAAGCTCCCCAGATGATTCTAATATGCAGCGAAGTTTGACAATCTCTAATAGAGACCATGTTTTAGTGAATCCACGATGATGCCTAGTGAACATCACATTTTCCTCTGAATGCTTTTTGACTTCATGTGTTTGGAACAAGATTTTTCCAAAGGTCATGTCAGGCTTGTAAGGCTGCGGTTTCTGGCATCTACTCTTTTCTCATGTTTGAAATTGGGGCAGTATCGAATATTTACACATCGCTTGCTTTCTCTCCGTACTCAAAAATATCTCTAAGGTTATCGGCAATGCCTATGAGAACACATGTGCTAGGGTCTTCATCAGCCTTTGAAGTAGTTTATCTAGTCCTGCTGACCTTATCCAAGTGCCTATATTAATGCTCTCCAACCTGAGTACCACAAGACGTACCAGAGATTATTAAAAATGCAGACTGGCCTAGCTGGTTTGGCTCAGTGGACAGCGCATTGGCCTGCGAACTGAAGGGTCCTGGTTCAATTCTGGTCAAGGGCATCTGCCCAAGTTGCAGGCTCTATCCCAGTGCAGGAGGCAGCCCATCAATAATTCTCTCTCATCATCAATGTTCCTATCTCTCTCTCTCCCTTCCTCTCTGAAATCAATAAAAATATATTTTATAAAAATAAAATCAAAATTCAGGTTACCAGACTTCACTGCCAATACTGGATTCAAGCAGTCTGGGTAGCCTGCACCCTTCAGGGTGCTTTGGCACAGGCACTCCCTATATCTGTTTGAGAATCTCTGCTCTTCCTGGGGCTTCACTTCCATCTTCATGCTATTTTTCCTACCCTTTTTATGAATACACTAGAGGTCTGAAGCACGAAGATTCATGCAAGAAAGGGCCTTCCTTCCCCTGGCTGCAGGCACTGCCATCGCTCCAGCCCAAGCGGTCTTTTCGCTCTGGCCCAGAGCCGCCTTTTCACCTTTCCATGCTGCACAGAGCAGCCCCCACCACTCAGCACCTATATATGCAAATTAACCCACCATCTTTGTTGTGTTAATTTGCATACTCACTCCCGATTGGCTGGAGGCCTTTGCAAAGGTATAGTCAATTTGCATCTTACTCTTTTATTAGTGTAGATAAGAGTTGGGCAGTGAGTAGGCAACAAACACTGATTCAACAATAGGAAGTGACATATTTCAATCTCGATTTTCTTTTTCCAGAAAAAGAAATAAATAAAGCAATATATCTCTCCAAACTCATTTGATTCTCAGTTAATTCACTGTACAACAAAAGTTCATATAAAAGAGTCACTAGGAACTAAAATACATCATAGTTGAATATATTTCTACTAGACTGTAAGCTTCTAGGGTATCTTACTTTCTAAATACTCCTCGAATCTCTGGCACCTACACAGTATCTTTAACAAAGCAAGTTTTTGATGAATTCTGAATGCATGCATGAATGAATATTTCTAAGGCAGGGTCCTTTAAAAATTAGTAACTAAATATAATTATTAGTCTATAATTTTGTGCACAGATGCTGGCTATTTGATTATAAATTCTTTATTAAACAAAAAATGGATAGTATTTATACATCCATTTTTAAACAAAATTTTTTTAAAACATGATGGAAGTGAGAATTGTTTTAGAATTCTTTGGTATTAGAAAAAATAGTTTGTTATTAGAATTTTTATATTATTAAATATTGCTTTCTTTCTTTTTCTGGAAAAAGAAAATGGAGACTGAAATACATCACTTGCCATTGTTGAGTCAGAAACTTGCCCAGTGTCTCAGTCTCTCTAAAATCAATAAATATAAATTTTTTTAAAAAAAGAAAAAAAGAGTTCATTTTCATTCTCGCCAAAACAAGAACTGGTTAAGGGAGATGCCACTTCCTACTCCCACACACTGCCCAACTTAGACTGTAATCATCCACTTAAAGGCAGAGAGGGAAGCAAGTTTTTAAAGATGTGCTTTTGCTAAGCTGATAAAATGATTTGGGGATTTTCCATTATTTGGGAAGACATAAGCTCCTTCCATTTCCTGCCCTCTGTCCACATTAGAAAAGCATTTAGTGTGCCAGAGTTTCTGAAAAAAACAGTTTCCGGGAGCCTGAAATGGGTTCGTCAGCTCAAGAGGTGGAGAGTGTCATCAGCATTCAGAAAGAACCAAGGATGCCATAATCAGTCAGAAAGCAGCTTGAAACTTGCCCAGTGCCTCCGTCCTTACTGATACATACGTATATAATGAGGATGGTTTTTAAGCATAAACATAAAATAAGAGATTCATCATGGGCACGCATTTAAACTGTGCATAACAAAAGGTTTCTAAGGCTTCCATTAAAAGGTTTCCACTGTGTATGTGTGGAAGAAGGGTGAGAGGGAGAAGTGGAGGGTTGAACTGTTTGATGTTGTTCATTTCTTTTCATCCTGGCTACTTTTCATTTCCAAAGATGAAGATACAAAGAAAGAACAAAAGATGGTCCTTGGAGCCAAGCTAACCTCAGTCATCAAGTAGCCTCTAAGCTAGCCCACTCTCCCCAAGTTGTTCTTATTCATTATTTTATTTCAAATGCATCTCTACTGAACCCTCACACCTTGGCTCAGCCATATTGACCTTGATTCCACCTCTGGAATTCTAGATGTGAACTATGATTGGTTTCCCATGCTAGAAACTTAGCTTTTCCTAGGGAAAACTCAGCTTTCATGAGAAATGTATGCTCTAGCTCTGGCCCTGAGGAAGCCAATTATAGAACCCAGTTATTCAACTGTGGATGGACACCACGGATGTGTCTTCCAGTTACCTCTTCAGGCTCATCCTGCTGCATGGCATTTGGTCTTCATCAAAAGAGGGGTTCTAGCCTGGTGGGCATGGCTCAGTAGTTGAGCATAGACCTATGAACCAGGAGGTCACGGTTCAATTCCCGGTCAGGGCACATGCTCAGGTTGTGGGCTCAGTCCCCAGTGGGGGTCATGCAGGAGGCAGCCAATCAATGATTCCCTCTCATCATTGATCTCTCTCTCTCTCTCTCTCTCCTCTCTCTCTCTCTCTCTCTCTCTCTCTCTCTCTCTCTCTCTCTCTCTCTCTCTCTCTCTCCCTCTCTCTCTCTCTCTTCCTTCTCTCCTCCCTCCCTCTCTCCCTCCCTCTATGAAATCAATAAAAAATCTAAACAGGGGGTTAGAAAGTGCACTCACCCAGAACTGGTGAACCAAACACAGCTGGCATTGCCTAAAGAAAGTCAATGCAGGAGAGAGATAAATACATAACCAGAAACACCGAGAGGAGTGATCATGGGATCATGGGAGACAAAGAAACAATGTAGGAAGTGGTTATAGGGTTAAACCTCAGACTGACCTGTTGGCAAATTTGCAAACAAGTCCCATTTAGAGGGCACAGTCCTCTAAGCAGAATTAAGCTTGATCTTGTAACTGCTCCCTAGATCTTTCCTGGGTAGCTAGTGGGCTGTGGGAGGGGCAGAAAGTGCTGCCAAAACAAGTGAAACTTATAACAACATTGTAAATTGCCTTGTTTGTCCCTGACTATAAATAAAGCCTCAATTTTGCAGTCTGGATCTGTTCTGTGGCCTCAGCCAGGCACAGAAGATCTGCCTAGACCCAGCTTTTTCTCTTTGTCTATCATTTTTTCATCCTTCATCACCCCGGATTAGGCTCACCGAACCCTTGGCTGTACTGGTGAGGCCCAGTAGAAGCCATAGGCAGCAAAATAGAAGACATTTGTCATATCAATATCTTTACAGCTCCTAGGGCAGTGGTCCGCAAACCGTGGCTCGTGAGCCACATGCGGCTCTTTGGCCCCTTGAGTGTGGCTCTTCCACAAAATACCACGGCCTGGGCAAGTCTATGTTGAAGAAGTGGTGTTAGAAGAAGTTTAAGTTTAAAAAATTTGGCTCTCAAAAGAAATTTCAATCGTTGTACTATTGATATTTGGCTCTGCTGACTAATGAGTTTGCCAACTACTGTCCCGGGGCAATAGAAACTAAAGAGAAAATAAATGGGACTACATCAAGATAAAAAAACTTTTGCACAGCAAAAGAAACCATCAACAAAACAACAAGAAATCCCACTGCATGGGAGAACATATTTGCCAATGTTATCATCGATAAGAGTTTAATCTCCAACATTTACAGGGAACTCATACAACTTAAGAAAAGGAAGATAAACAATCTAATAAAAAAATGGGCAGACCTAAATAGACACTTTTTGAAAGAAGACATTCAGAAATCCAGGAAACATATGAAAACATGCTCAAAGTCACTAATCATCCAAGAGATGCAAATAAAAACAACAATTAAGTACTATCTCACACCTGTCAGAATGCCTATCATCAACAAATCAACAAACAAGTGCTTGTGAGGATGCAGAGAAAAAGGAGCCCCCCTGCACTGCTGGTGGGAATGCAGATTGGTGAATCCATTGTGGAGAACAGTATGGAGTTTCCTCAAAAAATTAAAAATGGAACTGCCATTTGACCCAGTAATACCACTTCTAGGAATATATTCCAAGAAATCAGAAACACCAATCAGAAAGGATATATGCACCCCTATGTTCATAGCAGCACAATTTATAATAGCTAAGATATGGAAACAGCCTAAATGCCCATCAGCAGATGAATTGGTTAGAAAACTGGAAAACTGTGGTACATTTACACAATGGAATACTACGCTGCTGTAAAAAAAAAAAAAGGAATTCTTACCATTTACAACAGCATGGATGGAGCTGGAGAGCATTATGCTAAGTGAAATAAACCAGTCAATGAGAGAAAAATGCCACATGATCTCATTCATTTATGGATAATAAAGAACATTATAAACCGATGAACAAAAATAGATAGAGGCAGAGTAGCATCGAACAGACTATCAAACTACAGCAGGAAGGCTGGGGAGGGTTGGGGAGGGAGTTGAGAGTTGGAGGTAAGAGACCAACCAAAGGACTTGTATGCATGCATATAAGCATAACCAATGGACACAAGATACTAGGGGGGAGGGGAGGCTAGAAGAAGGTCAAAGGGGGGGGAGGAGACATCTGTACTACTCTTGGTAATAATTTAAGCAATAAAATAAAATTAAAAAAAAATTAAAAACAGGGGTTCTACAGCATGATGTCTGTGGCCTAAGTATAACTAAAGGGCATAGAGTAGAGGAGTCCCCGGCAGACCATGCTAGAGAGGCTCCTTCCACTACTACCTTTACAGTAAAACACTGTAGCCTTTGCTTGAATATGGGGTCCTAAATGAATAAGAGGAGATCTGTAGGACGAAGCTGCTGATTCTTCCTGGGTCTCATTAGATTAAATCAGTGGTCGGCAAACTGCGGCGTGCTAGCCACATGCAGCTCTTTGGCCCCTTGAGTGTGGCTCTTCCACAAAATACCACGTGCGGGCGCACATGTACAGTGCGATTGAAACTTCGTGGCCCATGCGGAGATGTCGGTTTTCGGCTCTCAAAAGAATTCTCAATCGTTGTACTGTTGATATTTGGCTCTGTTGACTAATGAGTTTGCCGACCACTGGATTAAAGGCTAAGAAAAGGGTAGAAATTATACTGGCCACTGGAAGGTGTCTGTGGATATCTGCTATTATATGAGGTAGGACTGTGATGAGGGGCAGTTTGGCCGGGTGCCAGGTTTTCCAAAGTGTGTTTGTGGAAGTGTAGTTCCATGTTGTTTATAATTCTAGGAATAAGCCCCTCCCCTCCTCCTAAAAAAAGGTCTCATCATCAAATAAGTTCAGGAGAAGTATGTTTACCCAGGTTTCTTTACTACAGGACTCCTCAGAGCCTTCAATATGTTAATGTGCATTGTGAATCTCTAAGAAAGGGCTATAGTGTCCACTGTTTCCCAAACAGCCTAACATGGAACCCTTTTGAGGGAACCCATCTCAACACCACCTATGCTTTCTAACTGCTAATGCTGGCGCAGTGGAGCCTGGGGTTTAGAAGTCAGACAAACCAAAGTTTACATTCTTCTCGGCTCGTCATTTATTCCTCTGCACCTCAGTTTTCTCACAAGGAACTAGGGAAAATAACGGGCCTCTCATACTTGTACGGAGGACTAATGAGGAGCAATTCTTAGCTGATGAGTTAGGAAAGGCTATGCATGGGTGGGGTACCGTGTGGTAGAAGTGTCGAAATGAAACTTGTTTGCTCTAATCTCCTCCTTCCGAATACATCGGCTGGGAACTTCCAGAGAATAAATCCCTTGGGTGTATACAGGTTCTGGGATAATTGCAGATTCACAAGATCTGGGCTCTTTCCCCGAGAACACAAAGATCTGAAAGAACACTATACCAATATAATAATAATAATAATAATAATGGCAGCTAAAATCACCACTACTTATTAAGGAACTATTATTTACCCAGTACAGTGGGTGCTTTGTATTCCTATTAATCCAGTTAAGCTTCACAGCAATCTTCAAGATCATATCATCACTCCCATAGTACAGATGAAGAAACTGAGACTCAGAAATTAAACATTGTACTCCGTGGCACAGCTGATCAGTGGCAGAACCGAAGACCTACTCTGCTTAATCTTAAAAAAACAAAAATGTCCACGAAAACATTTGCTATGCCCTGGTTTCAGGACCCAACCTGGTCAATGTATGTAAGCACTAAGCCGCTAATGAGAATTCTTTCATGTCACAGGGAATTCTGTTTCTCTTTCTTCCAGACAGATGGAAACCCTGTGGAGCTCTGTGGTAACAAGAGGCCAAGGCAGCTAAAAAAAGATTTCTGAACATTCTGAACACCAAGTTGCACAATGGGGTTTAGGGAACACCCCGTGAAGGGCCTAAAAGAGTTTCTTAAAGTAGCCCTTCCCTCATTTTCCAGCTCTCACTCAAGTGACCACAGAGTTTTTCCAAATATCATGTTCATTTGAAACAGGCCACAACCCTTCAGATTGCAAAGTCATCTGTACAGATTTTTTAAGATGATGGCAAGTGATTTGCAATCAGCATCCTTGAGAAAAATCAATCGGAGAAATTGCAAAGCAATACAATAAACTCCAAGGAGTACACATCCCATGGTTTGTTGCTATATAATATATGCTGATAATGTAGACTTCTGCTTCCCCCAAATAGCTAAGAACAAACAAACAAACATATTACCTGGTTCTTTTGTTTGGCCAAATGCAGAGGTTTTTCCTCGCCCCCCAAAAAAACGTTCTTTATGAGGAATGCTGAAGTCTGAAAGGAAAAAAAAAGACAGAAGTCAGCTCTCTCTGGAGCACCCCCTACATAGACACACGCACTCCACACATCTCACATCTCTGCAGCTCTCTGCAGGATGAGCTCCGGCTTAAATGCATCAAGAAATACACACACACCCGCACACACAGAGAAATAACCCAAACAGGCCACAGCTGCTTTGTCTTTCAGCCTGGAAGCCGAGCCCAGAGCCACAGATCCAGGAGAGCCTGAGCTCTGGCTGGGAGCCACAGCCTTCTGCCCCAACCCTGCCCTGTTTCACGCTAGGAGATAGGGATGTGCTCAAGTAATGGGCTGTGGTCACATGACTGCTTCCAGGGGGACCAGGCTCTGTGAGGGCAGGACCAGGCCACTGCCTGCATAAATAATCTGCATCAGTACAAAGGGTAAAAGAGAATTTTGGCAAATAAGGGCAGAAAAGCATTCAATGGCTGGCTCTTTAGGTAAATAAAGGATGATTTCTAGGAAACATTATAGTAACCTGGGTACAATTAAGAAAGGGAAGTGGAATTACTAACCATTCCTCCTTAGGACTTGAAAAGGCATGGGTTAAAGGGGTGGCTGTTGGGTGCTGTGCCGCAAATGTATTTATATGACATTTTTATTCCTCCAGCTATTCACTTAGTCACTTGCTGAAGAACCCATCTGTGAAGGGGAGATTCCCCTCCCACCATCAGCAGAAAGGAAAAGGAAAGTTGACCTGTAATTTTGCTGAGTTTGAGAAGGATGAGGAGCGAAGACACACTTGAATAATCGAAGCACGGATGTTAGTACTGGATGCCACCAGCCACGGTTCGGCTGTCTTTTGAGGCAATCAGGGGTGACCTGTTCCCAGGGTCTCATGCTGATTGCAGCTGCACTGACAGCAATTTTCCTCCCAAACTCTTCCTACTTGTTTACACAGCATATGGCCTTAGCATACTGGCCTTAGGCACAGAGAGCTAGGATTTAAAGGACTCCAGACATAATTATTTCATAACCCCACCCAAGCTACTCTTTAGCCAATTCCTATCTGCAATTGCGTGCCACAGGAGATCCAGTAAAGCAGTTGCCTAGTTTGATATTTATACTAATGGAGTCACTTTTAAAATAACCGGAAAGGGCTTCTCTACTCTTATTAGCATATTCAATATCATCAGAGGGCCTCTTATGAGATAATGTAATCATCCAGGTTTCTATGGCAGGAACTCCAAGCCTAGAACCTGAGGAGACTGGCATACACACTGTAAATGATAGCATAATTAGCCAGGCTCCTAAAAAATAATGGATAATGTCGCTATATGGATGAGTTTCCAGCCAAATGCCTGCTTAATCCACTGATCAAATGATGGCTATGGTCTAGATAGTTGTTCAAATGTCACCTCATCTGTGTGATGCCTTTCCTGAATCACCAAAGGGGACTTAGTCACTCTGTCTTCTGGCACGCAAAGCCATGTGTGTGTCCAATTATAGAACTTGCAAAAGTGCACTGTAATTTGTCCTTTTGCATGTGAAACCCTGAAGGGAAAGGATCCATTTCATCCCTCTTGGCATTTACAGCACCAAATGCAAATATTTGATTAAGCTCAGAAAGAAAAGAAAAAGAGAATAAGAACTCTTTATTTAGGTAGTTATTTTACTGATCAGCTTCTGAACCATGAATTGGATTGGCTGTGCCCTATATGTGACTTGTCTAAAACTTAAAATTTGCTTAAAATGAAGAATTTAACCATATTTTTCCATTGTACAAAGAATGCTAAAAAGCTACATTGAGCACCACAGAGTCCTATAGCCAGACTCCAATTATTAAATGAATGAGCGTTGATGTATGTTAACAAATCACAATAACTGTAGCACATTTATTGAGGATTTACTATGTTCTAGGCACTTACCAATTTTAAATGTGTTAACCTTCCTTAATCCACACACCATCATATGAGACATATACTACTATTATCCGTATTTACTAATTAAGAACTATAGCACAAAGTCAAACAGCAAATAAGCGGTAGAGCTGGGATTTGAACCCATGCACTTTGATTCTAGAACCTCTGCTTATAATCATTACACTATACTGCCTCAGTTAGCACCTTATATGTTTGTAAAATGATGTTTCCAGCTTCTATTCAGATGGTATCTGGTTTTCTTCCAGCTGAGGATGGGTGTGTTGTTTTAGCCTAAAAAAAAAGAAAAAATAATGGATCAATTTATCTCTCAATAGGCACATCATCCTATCTAGAAAAAGAGTAATATGCGAATTGACCATACCTCCACTACACCCGCCAGCCACACCCACCAGCCAATCAGAGCGAGTATGCAAATAAACCCAACCAAGATGGCTACCAGGATGGAGGCTTGGGTTTCCCCAGCAACGGAGGAAGCCAACCTTTCCACCTGCCCTTGCAGGTCTATGCCTTTACTGAAGGCTACTAAGTTTCGATTATAGAAGGTAAACAAATTCCAACAGAAATGGCTGCAGCCACAGAGCAAGCAGGAGACTTGGCTCCACTCCAGGCTACAAAGTTTCAATTGCAGAAGATACATAAATCCCAGATACCAAGGCCTCTGTTAGGGTCACCAGGGGGTGTGGCCAGCCTGAAAACCACCACAGGCCCCTTGCCCAGACCACTCCACACCCCAAGGGAACCCCCACCCTGATCTGGGACACCCTTCAGGGCAAACAAGTGGGCCCCCACCCATGCACTAGGCCTCTATCCTATCTAATAAAAGAATAATATGCAGATTGACCATCACTCCAACACACAAGATGGCTGCCCCCATGTGGTCAAAGATCCTGTACCCGTGTGGACACAAGATGGCCATCACAAGGTGGTCAGCAGGGAAGGGTAGTTGAGAGGGACCAGGCTTGCAAGGGAGGGCAGTGATGGGTGATCAGACAAGCAGGGGAGGGCAGTTGGGAGGGACCAGGCCTGCTAAGGAGGGCAGTTGGGAACAATCAAGCCTGCAGGGGAGGAGTGTTAGGGGTGACCAGGCTGGCAGAGGAGGGAATTTGGGGGTGACCAGGCCTGCAGGGAAGGGCAGTTGGGTGGTACCCACACCTGCAGGGGAGGGCAGTTGAGCAGGACCCAGGCCTGCAGGGGAGAGCAGTTGGAAGGGACCAGGTCTGCAGGGGAGAGCAGCTGGAGGGGACCAGGTCTACAGGGGAGGGCAGTTATGGGTGACCAGGCCTGCAGGGGAGGGCAGTTAGGAGTGACCAGGCCTGCAGGAGGGCAGTTAGGGGTGATCAAGCTGGCAGAGGAGGGAAGTTGGGGGCAAACAGGCTGGCAGGGGAGTGGTTGGGGGTGATCAGGCTGGCAGGCAGAAGTGGTTAGGGGCAATCAGAAAGACAGTTGGGAGCAAGCAGTCCTTGATTGTGAGACGGATGTCCAACTGCCCGCTTAGGCCCAATCCTGGTGGGATCAGGCCTAAACAGTTAGTTGGACATCCCTTAAGAGTTCCCATATTGGAGAGGGTGCAGGCTGGGCTGAGGCACAACCCCTCTGTGCATGAATTTCATGCACCGGGCCTCTAGTCATAGGATAACAGCCAATGGGAAAGATAAGAACTAATTCCCCCCCACCCCAGAAAAGGCCATATAAATACCAAATCATCTTTAACTAAGGTGCCTTGTGCTGTTTCAATCAATTCAACACATTTTTATTGAACACCTCCTATGTGGCAGGCACTGTTCTGAGGGATGGACATAAATGGTGAAGAAAAGAGAATTAGGTGAGACACACACATGGGAAATGAGAAATTAAATTCTGTCTCCCCACCTGGCCAGTGTGGCTTAGTGGTTGAGTGTCAACATATGTACCAAGAATTCTGGGTCAGGACACATGCACAGGGTGCAGGCTTGATCCCCAGTAGGGAGTTGTAGGAGGCAGCCAATCAATGTTGTTTGTTTGTTTTATTGATTTCAGAGAGGAGGGGAGAAGAAGAGAGAGAGAGAAACATCAGTGATGAGAGAGAATCACTGATCGGCTACTTCCTGCACACTCATTATGGGGGATCGAGCCCACATCCCAGGCACGTGCCCTTGACCAGAATTGAACCTGGAACCCTTCAGTCTGCAAGCCAATGCTCTATCCACTGAGCCAACCCAGCTAGGGCCTGATCAATGTTTCTCTCTCTCTCTCTCTTTAAAAATCAATAAAACATATTTTTTAAAATATCTCTCTCCTATTGCAATATAATCTCCAGGAACCTAAAACAGTGCCAAGCACATAATATTTATTATATGAATGAATGAAAGCAATGCAGTATGGTAAGATCTGTAACTGGATAGGTAGACACAGATAAAGAGCCCCATCACAAAAAGTGGGATGAGGGAAGGCTTTCTAGAAGTGGTGATAAGGCTGAGAGCTGATGATTGAGCAGCCAGAGTTAAGAGTTAGCCAGAAGAAGAGGTAAGGGTGTTCTTGTAGACATGTCTATTTTATAGTACTTAACAAGGATGTGAAATTGGAGAGGCGAAGTAAAAATCAGAATAAACTGTGGTCCTAGTTACAATGCCGCAGTTAGATTTCTGAGAGGGTAAAGTGGCTGCCTTTCCATGTCTGTAAGCTAGACTTACAATCTTAGCTGTTTCTCCTTCCTTTCTCACTTCCCCACTCCCCTACTGGGTTTGCCTTGGCCTTCCAAATAACTTCTTGCTTTCAAACGCTTGTCTAAGGGTCTGCTGCTGAGGAAGCCCAAACCAGCATCTCAGTTAGTCTAAGCTAGTAGCAAACTACGGAAAGCTAGAGGGGATGGAGAAGGCTGATTACCTCACAAGGGAGAGGTTGGGCAGTGCAGGCCAACTTGTCCTATTTCATAAGCTTCCTGGAGCTGGCTACAGTTCCATTTTTTCCCAAGGAAAAGTAATTCTAATGGGTCATGATACACAATGGGGAATATGCTAAAATCTAGGCAAAGCAGCTGGATTTGGGAGTCAACTGAGAAAACAACAATGTGTGCAGATCTGATTGGGAGTGAGTCCTTAAGTTCCTGATATGTCAATGCCTGATAGTAACCAAAGGAGGTAACTCCAATGGGCTACACTCTCAGCTAGCCTTCTGGTGTTGGGGCTAGTGGGGAGAAATCATACCTTATCTCAGCTTCCCAGCACCTGGTAGTCTCTAAACTGAGGTACCTACCCCACAGCAGCAGCACAGATATGTTGGAGAACAGAAAGCAAACCATTAGAATTGGCATTTTAATCTATTTTCTTATTCTTTTTGATTTTTCTATTTTCATGTATGCTTGGTAATATACACAATATGAGTTCAGCAGTATTAGCTGCAAATA